TACACGTCCACCTAACAAAAAACATATATCTCCATTTAAAAAGCAAAGGTCACTTTGAAATCTCGAAGACAAGTCCACCTAGACAAGATTTCTGACTATTACGTTAATATGTCACGCTCGAAATGAAGTAAGCTATATCTCAAACACTTTTTTCAATAATGAATTGAAATTTTTATATGAGACACCATATATGTTACGTCATATGTATATTATGTAATTGGAATCATAGGTGTGTGTTGTAAACGTAACAGCGTTATTTAACATCGTTAAATTCAATATTCGTTCATTTTTAATACCATAAATAATTACAATGAATATCGATTTAAAATACTATATCTTAATTGTTCATTTAAATTGTGTTTATTCATCGATTTACAATATAATCATTTAAATTTGATTCTCGTAGCGCCATCTCTTACAAATCCGTAGAATTTCAAGTCGCGTCATCGATGCATCCATCAGTTATAATAGGTAGAATTTGATTTCATTGAAATAGAAATCAAATTTGGAATGAACTTAATTTTCGATTGTAAAATATAAAATCGGTGTGATAATAATTATTAATCGCCAAGTTGCATCTCAGGTTTAATGTAAACAAGGTAAACGTAGAGGGAGGTTGGGGGTTAATTAGGTGTTTTTTTTGTTTTCTAACTAAGAGCTCGTCGTTTCTTATCGCAGTCGACGATCGAACAAACGTGTATGCGTACGTGCGATCAGAAGGTTAGGAGGAAGGAGGGAGCAAAAATCGAGGCCCGGGCAACGTTTAATCTTGCATCATGCGCGATGACCTTGCGACGTCGGCGGAGGCCGTCGAACTTAACTTGTCTCCTTGATTTTGCGTTCAAGGCCGAGACGTGTGCAACCCGAGAGGAATTCAACGAAATCAAACTCCAAATCCGTCCTACAAAATTCTCATTTTTCTACATCGAACAAAGAAACTCTCGAATCGCAATTTTCTGATCAAATGTTTTTCATTCGATAAGACGACTTTAGAAAATATCACGTCGAAGACGTAAATCAACGAGCGCTCATGTGCGTGATACCCACGTGAAGAAAAATATTGGAAAGGTCACTTTTTACTTTCTTCATCTTCTTTTTTCCTTTTCTTTTTCTTGCTTTTTCTTCTCCTTCCTCTTGTTCGCTGCGTCAAAAACGTGTTCGTTGTTTATATTAGAAAAATTGTCGACGATACGATAGATAAAATTTGGACTTTACTCAATATTTCTTCTTTTTTCGTTGATTCTTTCTTTATTCTTTTTTATCTCGTCTAGCGATAACGTCATACAAAAACGTTACGTGCTTTGCAAATACCACCTACGATTTCGAGGAATTCTTTAAACATATCGGTGATTTTCTTGAAAATGATATTTCTTATCAATAAACACTCGAGATTTTTCAATTTAATCATTTTGCAAAATCGTCATTGTAAAAATATTGATTCTTGGGGTTTTCGTTTGTTTACAAAGGTTATTTTGAAATGAAAACAAGATAGAAAGAAAGAATATCCTATAATAGTCACGTTAGAATAGAAAAATCAATTTATCCGTTGAATCTAAGTTTGGACGTGACTAAAATCCAGTTCTACCGCCTCTGGCGCCAGATTTTTAACCTTCTGCCTCCCTACCGACTATTATGTATCAGCATTATGCTAATATTACCAACTTTGAATAATAGATATAGATTTTTTCCCTTTTCTGTTTGTTTAGACAATAGGCATGAACGTAAAATGCAAATGTTCTGTTACATATATGGCGCTGTTCTGAAAATAATTGGAAAAATTTCCCGAGACGTTTGTGCCACTCGAATATTAATAGAAAAAAAGAAGTCAAGATCGATCCATTTATTTTTAATTTCAAATCTTAAATTCGTATTTTTGTCAGGTACTTCAATTGGTGTCATTTCGAAAGTACTCGATTTTGCATTACTTTGCGTGATTCGTAAGATTTCTATATTTAAAGTGATCGCACTTTGATATACAAGCAATTGGCGAGAGAAGCGTAAATAAAGATTGCGCAACATGACGCAATAATTATCACCGACAAAAACGAACTTTTGATCTCTCTCTCTTTCTCTCTCTCCCTCCCTCTGCTCCTCAATCTTTTTGCGAATAATTTTAAGCGAGGTCAGGTCCGGCATCATAAATTACTAATACTACTTTGTTCGGCACGAAAAAGTTAATATAAAATTCTGATTAGAATGTGTGTAAGCATATTGCGGAGAGACAACATATTCATATATTCGATATGTGTAGAATCTTTAGACCGAGAAGGTATCATCTCATAGTCAGTTTTATTAGAATCTTTCTCTTGGATTCTTTTTTTCTTGGCAGAAATGTTTTATCGAAAGAAAGAAGGACGTTAATGTCGGTGCTTTAGTTCGATGACCCGGTCGATGAAACGCATCATCCTCTTATCAAAACATCGTCGAGTATTTTCACGCGCTCGAACAGTCTAGACTTTTATTAAACAAACAACAAGTCGGCGGGGAGGTTGCTTCGCTGCTTACAACAAGTTGCGCAGAAACGTTTTTAACGAACGTTCATGCCAAAGGCTTTCGAACGATCTGATTTCGGTGAAAAGCGTTCATTCTAAGTCAATTCTCTCTACTCAGACTTTTTCTATAAATTGTATTTAACGAACAGATTGATCGGTCGATGAATTGGGAAACCTTGTGGAACTGATCACGTTACGCGTTCGTGAAACAAGGAAGAATAATAATCGATGAGGAAGAAGACGAGAAGGCAAGCATTTGATTCCACGGAAGGCACGCGAAGGTTCCTCGTGACTTGAGAATAAAATTGGTCGATTCGTTCTCGAGAAAACAAGCCTCTCGGTATCTCGATAAGCAACGGTTCGTTCACCAATAAATTATTACCGTCGTATTACGCAAGACAGTCGTCGTTGCTAATTCTTCCAACGGCACTGACTCTTATACGCACTTTTAATGACTTTAAATTTTCTTTCTACTTGTGTACTTTTCATGTAAGAAAACAAAATGAAAGAACAACCAAAAATACAGTAAACGTCGTGTTTTCGGTTTTAGCAATTTCCATATTGCCAATAAACGTGACGACACGAAAATTTGACGTTCTTTCCTATCTAAATTTACGTATCACGTTTTGCGTTTTCCCCCTCCCCCGTCCCCTCCCTATCTCTTTCTTTCGCTCTCTCGCTAACGTACCGATAGTTCCAACTACTCTAGCTATATTTAACTTTCTTACTATTATGCATGCAAGTTACATCACAGACCGATTAAAATAGCGATCCCGCGAGTACTCATGTTTCTACGTCCTCTTCCTCTTCCCACTTTTCTCTTCTTCTCTTTCCCTTTCTCTCATTGCAGTCTCTAATAAGCGATTCCGAACGTTAAACCACAGCTGCATCGTAAACGCGATAGTGTTATCAATATGCGAACGATGCGACGTTTGCAACTATGTTACTGAAAATGCTTTTCAACTGATATTCTTATTCCCAAGTATATTATATGGCCTCGTTTTTCATGTATCTTTATAAAATAATTGTTCAAATCACTCTATATCGTTAGGGAAAAAATCGACGCGCAAAACGTATGCGTTTCTAAAAAAAAAAAAAGGATATTTCAAATTGTTAGGTAATATTGCCTTAGACTTTGTAGATATTTCTGTAACGCATAGGTGTACGTAGATACGCGTAGGAAGTTTATTTATTTTTTGACGGATTCGTCACACCGACAGCTGATGTAACTAGCTAAACCTGACCTGAGGCAATGATACCTGTCGAACGGAGGACACCCGGTTTCTACATTTTCGTTATTTTTTTCTTTCAACTATCCATGTTTTTTTAGTACTTAGGGGCTCACAGGTGAAGAAGCACTTTGCTTTGTATAGTCTGTGTAATTAATTAATAAAAGAAATTTCTTGTAATAGGATTTTGGTGTCGGAAGAAGAAAAATGAGGCTATTGAAAGTTGAAAGGAAGAAAAGGTTGCAATTACATATACGTAGAAATGTAACTGTGATCGCAAATGATAATTCCAAGAGATATGCCAATGAAACGCATGAAAGCGTCTCTAATCAGCTCGAATTGGAATGTTTTGTACGCATCGTTAAAGGTATTCGTTCGAAAGGCCGTCTTCGTTGTTATATTCTTGTCTGGCGCATTCATTACGATTTCTGTCTCTCTCTTTCTTTCGCCAGACATCGTCAACAATATTCTAAACTCGTAATCGCAACCTAACGCAACATAGTCATCCGACGCGACCATTACGGCTACGACAAAGGCATTTCCATTATTTCTCACATACATATACATATATTTGCATAGGAGCGCGTAACAAAGTATCATCTACGTAATATAATAATAATAATATTGATTTATTTTTTGTGGAAAATATTCATTAATTCCATAGGAGCCGCGAGTAACGGTGCCTGGTGATGGTGGTGGCATTGGCACCGATCGCAGCACACTTCCAAAAAGTAGGTTTCTGGAGCGACACCTGCACCAACGACAACAAATGAAAATCTTATTAAGAAAAATGTCCAGGCGATCGTTATTCTCAACGTATTCAGCATTAACCCTCGACTTGCAAAGTACAAATCTAACGTTATATAATCCCCACTGTTATCTCCGTACGTATAATTATTGCCGTACCTTTACGCCAATTATCCACAACCAGTTTGATATCTAATAGAAAGAAAAAGATAGAAGAAAGAACACAATCTCGAATGCGCATACGTTTACTTTACGTAAACGCTCGATTCGCGTAGGCTAATAATAGATCGATTAATTTATTATGCGCTACGTCTCTTAGCGGGTCTGCGATAGCTTTTCACACGGTTTCTTTTAAACTAGGAGGAGGTTCTCTTTGTAATACCTTATTAAACTTTCTAAGCTATCATTAAGAGAATTATAGTAGTGCCATCATCGAGGAAATTCTTATTTATTTCCTTTCCATTCTGAGAAATTAGAAAATTCTCTATAATTTCATGATATTTCGAAATAAAATTCTTAAATAGAATTTTCATTGGGAAAGCACATTACTTTATTTTCTTTATTAATAGAAATATTTACATCGCTTAAATGAAAATGACTAAATTCTAGTTCGATTGTGGTATAAATAGTTTCAACAAAGTAAAATAAACACGTATGTAAGAGAATTTTTTGCCCAGCGATATCAAAATATAAAAAAACATTAGGAAATAAATAAATTGATAAAATAAATAAATAGACTAAATTTAGAAATAAATGGAAGTTTTATGACATCTTCCTACGCCGTGATTTACTCGATGAGCATTGGCAATCGCTATCGGTATAGGAATCGGACGAAGAAGAAGAGCTCCAGGAGGATGACGAGGAATATTCTGAAATTGATGATTTTCAATGAATTATTATTCACTTCAAAATGTTTCATCAAGTTTCAATTGTATTCACCTTTACAACAATTACGTTTGTTTTTCGATGTTTTAGATTTGCTTTCTTTCTTTTTCGTGTCTTTTAGTTTGTTCAACTTTTTGGAATCCTTCTTTTTGGGCCTTCCTCTAGTAGTTTTGCGCAACGGTGAACGTTCCTCGTAGCAATCTAAACAATCGTAATCCGTATCGGAAGTATCCGGTAAGATCGATTCCGAAGAGCTGCTGTAGCAATCTTTTCTCGAACAACACATTGCATTTCTCCTCGAACTTATCTTTTTGCTTATTTTTTTAGATGCCATCTCTAATATAAATATACAAATCTATATAAATTTATCGAATGACTCGACGATTTTGATCATACATATAATGAACATAATGAATATGTGACATCACTGATTTGTAAAGTATTTCAATTTATAACGCTCGAAATTGGCAAAACATATTTCAACTTTGTACTATCAGACATCTCACCTCGCATATAAACATATTCCGAAGGACGCTTAGATAACTTTACGACGTTTCAAATAAATACCGTTAGAAATTAGATAAAAACTCACGTGAGATTATTATATAATATTCAAGGACATCGGGGGTACAAAGAGAGAGATTCATTTTTATTTGAACTTTTTATTTATATTATTCTAAATATACTATACGTTCTCTTGCATTTATTTAGAAACGATTAGAGAGAATTGGTAGAAATGTATCAAATTAAATGGTGCTCGGTCTATCTCATTAATCTTTATTTTTTGCAAGAACTATTATGATATTACATACCTGCTGCTGATTATGCGATTAGAAAAACTTCAGATTTTGTACTTGTCAAATACAAACGTTTTATTATTAAAACGAATTTGGATAAGTTGTTAATAACACCGAGTTGTTGTCTAATACCGAGTAAAGATTTTTCATCCTTTCAAATATTTATATACAAAGATAGATAAATACTGTTAAAATATCTGACTTTGATTCGTCCGTTTCAATTAGATTCTGTAGGATAATGTAAATCGTTTTAAATTTAAAAGCGAACCGTTAGAAATCTCTCAATATTAATAATATCTTTAATTTCATAGGAATAGATCGAAAAAGAAAGCAAAATAATAATATACTTGTTTTTATATGGTATTTTAACGTATAAACGTATCAACGAGCAACGAGTATCTCGCGATATGTAAAATTCACAGATGCGAGTAGAAATTAGAGCATAAAACGTGTACGATACATTCGCAGCAATGTCAGATTATGAATCATTATGCAACGCGAATATTGACGCAATCCAATCCTAGGCAATGAGCCGATCTATGCGAAATCTTGGATTACACGTATCCTACATACATACATAGACGTATACATATGGATATTCTTACGCAAATAAATGAAATTGTATATATATATATATATATATATATATATAATTAACAAATCTTTTATATATGAAAATGAATAAATATGATTGAATTATATTCGGTTCGCAGCATATAAGGGTAACAATAAGTAAACGGCAAAGCTATTATATCACGAGTAGAGTCAGCCCGTGAACCCGAGAAACAATAATTGGGCACGTTGCAAGAGCGCACGTGACTTATTTCTCCAAGAGCTTTCCCCGTCTTCGTTTCGTTCCGTTCCTTTTCTTCTCTTATTGTCTTTCGTCTCCCTTTTCACTGTCAATTAGATTCATTTCCAGCCACGCGAGTAGAATAAACAGGATACATTTTTATTATAACAAACCTGACATTTTTATAATTGACACTTTTCTTATTTTTCTCTTTTTTTCTTTTATTGACTAAAAGACGCCTCGATACAATAGAAACAGTTTTGATATCGTTCCTTTTTCCCTTTCCTTTTATATTGTATTTCAACTTTTTCGTGCGTTTTTTCTTTTTCTCTACTATAATTTATTTCAAAGTCAACGATTAATTATAAGAATATAAATAATGTTTTTTCAAATGAGTAAGTAAGCAATCGAAAGTTACGTAAATTATTAATACTTTCAGATGAAATGTTCCGACAAATAAATTTGTTAACAACGTATATGCGTATATATGTATATAAGTATGAATATGTAATTAAATGCTTGCTTACATACTTCTTGGAGCAAGATCTTTGATAGAAAAAATGAATATTAACTCTCGTATCTCAGCACGCGTTTACCGCTCGATCGAGCGAAACCGCGAAATTACATCATCCTGTAATACATAAGATGTTTTTCGCCTACTATTATACACACATATTAGTTATTGACGATTATACTCATTACGCTCGGCGGTAATCGTTTCGTCTAGATTGCGTTCATCGTTTCGTGCTTTACAAAGGACGGCCTTGTCTTTTCCTTTATTGAATAAATCTAATTGCTCTTTTTTACGAACGACGAATATATCAACAAAAAATCATATTTAGTGTATATGCACCTAATGCAATATTCAGGTTGGCACGAAGAAAGTATAAAAAAGTAACAAATGTTGGTATTACTTTTGTTGACAAAAATAAATAAAAATCCAGGAGGAAAAGATAAAAATAATTATAATTCCAACTATATCGGGATTTATCGATTCGAATAAGATAACATCTTTCTTTTGGAAGAAACTAAATAAGAAACTAAAATAGAATTGGATCGATAATTGGAAATAAAACAGCTTGACTTAGGATAATCCGATTTGTAGACGGTCGAAGGATGAAAAGGATGAAAGGGATGAAATTTGAGGTCAAGACAGATTGAACGTTCTTACTTCGTTCTCTTGTCCTCTCCCTTTCTCAACTAGCCCTCTTCTTCCCTAGCTTGGTATCCTAGCATAGTTAATGGCGTTACGTCACCCTCGTACTTTGCTGAGTCACACCGTCGAACCCACCTCTCTCTTTCTAATTCTTTGTCTAGGAATATCGATAAACGTGTTTCCTCCCTCGCATTCGTGCCTTTACGCGTGCTTCGGAAATTATTATATCGTCCCCGAGGAATTTCTAAGATCCCTGATCTCTCTCTCTCTCTCTCTCTCTCTCTCTCTCTCTCTCTCTCTCTCTCTCTCCCTATTTCCATTAGATACGACCAAATGTAAATGTTTTGAAAAAACAATACAACTATTACAATGATTGATAATTGTGGTCTTTAATTAGTGCAGAGAATACGTTTGGATATTTAATCGAGGGTAAGCTGCGAGCTAATCGCAACGCGTTAAATTCCGTTCCGTTCTCATAAACGAAGAAATGAACGTAATGCATTTCCCTCTCTCTCCCTCTCTGCCTTGTTTCTCAATCAGTCACGATACGTTCGATTCTCGTTCGACTAAACTCGAAGTAAAGTGTCTCGAGGCGAAGAATGGTCGGCAATCGGTGATCGACATATAAAACGTGTAATTCGAGATTTCGCAGGGATCGGTTCGTAGCTTGGGATTAGATTGCATCAATGTTCGTGTTGCATAATGACCCGTAATGTGGCATAATCGAGCGTACATAGTGCAACGCCCGTTGCTCTTATATTATATCCCCTCCTATTCGTTCTTATTTTCTGTCTACGCAGAGAATGGAAATAACAATAAATCGAATTCGCAAGCGTACGTATAATACGGGGAAATGAATATATTTAAATGATATACAAATGGCATTATTAAAAATTACTCTAATCAATATAAAGTAGTCGGAAAATGACATCAATCTTACCTTTTTTGTCAAAATATTTCTTACACTCATAAAACCAGATTTAAATCTATACCATTTGGAATCAACATCCATCATTACTTATTTATCTTGATTTATTTATCATTAGATATCGTTTGTATTCAGCAATAAGGATAAAATTGATGAGAAAGAGAGATGATAGTCCCGAGGTTCTCCTCTTTATGTAATAAAAATGATGATTAGAGAATTACGAGTTACAACGAGCTATCTGTGAAGAACATATATGAGATAATTGATTGTGTGTGGGTACGTGTACATGGTAGGCAAATGTATCATCCCAGGAAATAAGGCATCCTCTTTGTTCGCGTTGAACGACATTCGTTAAAGCCACAAGTAATTTCGTCTCCTGGCTCTGATTAATGTCCAACGTTCCCCCGACAATTCCTAGGGATGATAAATTAATGGGAGATACGTTCTAGGAGGATTTTCAAGAGGCTGAGTTAACGTACCTCCAAAGGTTATCCTTTCTCGTTCTTATCGCAGGACGATCGCTCGTCAAAGAAAAACAGGTTTCACTAAGATTTTTCTCCTCGAAGAACACTCAACTTCTTCTTTTTCCTTTCGAATCTATAACGCGTTCATCTTTCATTCCACGATTAATAATATATTTATATCACTTATAATTGCCAATTTAATGAAAGTTCTAAATAGAAATTAGATTGGCTGTAGTATTATAAATATGTTTCATTAAATAACTACTCGATTTGTTTTCTTTAGCATACTTATACTAGTCCTCCGCTAATAAACTTATTAGCCCGATTTGCGTTGCATCATGCTAATACATTAATATGTACAGTTATACGATAGATTGGATTATGCAAATTTCCTTGAGAATTTTCCAACTTTGAAACTCGGTCGCATACGAACGAACGTTAAAGGTTCCATTTTTCCGACGTTTTTTGTTAATATGCAATAGGATAATATTTAAACGATTAAAAGTATAGAAAAACGAAATAAGAGAAATCTTCGGCATGGACTCGGTTTCCACGTTTTCAGGCATGCATTATGCATGATGGGAACATTCTCATCCTTTGCCATGACCTTGCCTCTCACCATTTTGTTTCTTCCTTTTTTAAATACGAGACATTAAAAACACGCTCTCATTGAAACTCGAATAATAGTGCATTGGTTTGTAAAAAATATGTAGGAAGCTTTTCTATTATTGGATCTTCTCTCTTAGATATTTTTCTGTAAGAAAATGTTTGTATCCTTGATAGAAATAATCGTTTAGTTTAAAAAAAGACGATCACAAGCGTTGTATGTGTAATCGCGTTTCGAATTGTAAATGAGCTTGGAGTACGGGAAGCGAGTGCATTGATCTTACTTAAACGCGTGCGACGCGAGGAATGATATTTGCGAAACCGTTGCAAAGGTTATGACACCTAGAACGGCAGTTACGGTGCAGTTATCGTTGCATAGTCGAACGAGCATAATCCGAGCGCTACATCTGTTCCGACACGTAAGAGCCCGGCTACCGCGTACCTCCAACAAACAAAGAAGCGAATATACCAAGCGAATATACCAAGTAATAAAGGAATTTATTGAAACCCCATTATAGTAGCAACCATAGAAAATGATAATCTCGTGATCATCGAGCATCTGAAATAATGATTACGATATTCGATATAGCAAAGAGTAAGAATTAATAAAGCATTTGCTTACGTCAATACTACTAGAGGTTTATCATTTCGATAGACAATGATATTTGCGTATGATAGTTGCGTTATGCCATCGGTGCTCGATTGCACCTCGACTATGCAAGCATGCTTTATATAGCAGTTATTGTCGTGCCGCTATATTGCACGTGTCGTTGATCGAAAGCTCCGACACAGCCAATCTCCTTCTATTTGTCTTTTTGTTTGCTTATCTTTGTCACGCCAATGGTGCAATCTTGACGTTGCACCTACACGTTTGTTCATTCATTCCGGATTACACAAGTCCCTTAGGAGCGTGCGCGCACACGATCTCGCCGCAAACGTGAGAGTAAGTCGTTCTAACACCAGACAGACAGACAGATGCGGAAAAGATTACCTTTCTGTGCTGTGTCCTTTTTGCGTTGGTATAACAAAAGGAATTACGCAAGTCGTCTATCAAACCTACAAATTATTCGAGCCTTTTGCTTCGAGCCTTTTGCTTCGAGCCTCGGCTTTTACTTCGAGACAAGACAATAAATAAGTATAATATATTGTAATATAATAGTGTCTTAATATAAATTCCATATTACTTTACCTGCGAACAAGCTAAACTTAAAAGAATTCAAAACAAGGGGAATACACTTTACGCAGAGATTTGGAGTTAGGAATTTGAGAGATAATACACCTAATAGGAAAAGAGCGTTCTCGTATGGTAGCTAAGGCAACAAGAGCGAGCTTGAGCTATCTTTATCGCTTTCAGGCAGATACGAGTATCCGGTTTTAGCACTCACTTACCTCTGCACCCTCCTCAGTCTTTCCCTTAACTTTTACCTACCCCTCGTTTCTCTCCTTCTTCTTTTTCTTTATCTTACTCTCACTCTCTCTCTTTCTATCTATCTTTTTCATCTTTTTATTGTTCCATTTGGAATTCTTTTTCCTCGTATCTTTAGATTTTATACTAAAATATTTGTTTTAGAAAAATGTATCTATTGTAATATGTCAAGTAGTATACATGCTTTAAGTAGTATTTATATTTTATTGTTGGAATAAGAGCATGTAAAAGAAGATTAAAATAAATTTATATTTATATCGAAAGAAGAAAGGTAGCGATCATAAAATTGTTCTCTTATTTATATATCTTTATGTTTTATTAATAGTTAAGAGTGACGTCTAAATCTTAATAATATCGATATTTATAATTAGTTATTAATATTGGATTGGCAACTAAGTGAGTGCGGTTATGTTAATCCAAAATATCCGCAATCACTTAGTTGCCAAGGTAAGACCAAGCTAAGCCCAAGTTCGGTAACAAAAAAATCTACCTTACCAATATCGGTAACAGTAAAATCTACCTTACTTTACCTCAGCTTGGCAACTAAATGATTGAGAGAATATATAATTATTACTATTTTTTTTTTTTTTTTATATGTATATAAATAAATGTTTTCTGTACTCTTAGCCGAAATTTATTATAAGCTTGACGTTAACTGTATATAACAAAGATTTAAATATTTCTTAATAAACCTAAACCTAAAGAAATATATCATTCAATAATAGTAAACCATGTGCAATTGTAGATTGCATAATTAAATCAAAAAGTCCGTCTACCTTATCGCGAGAAAAGTTTCCGAAATTATAAAGAACAATGCTAGTGCCATCTCTAACTTATGGACTTTGAATACTATGAAAATTTGATCAGTAGTGTAAGCTCTCTCCGGAAGATGTCAGAATAATAACATTTCAAATAATGAATAAACAATAAATTTACTAATATAATTGTAATTATAATTAATTTTAATTGGAATTATTTATACGAGTTAAAAAGTTTCAAAGTATCATGATATCTTATGAAAAATTTCTATGCTTTACTTATTAAATCTGTACTTAATTTAAGCTACAGATTTCTCTCTTTTTAAGAATAATTTGAATATATTATAAGAGTTGTAAAATTGAATAAAATATGAAAATTTCGAAAAATATAATAATATAATAAAGAAAATTTTGAAGTACATGTAATAATTGAATAGAGGCAAGTTGATCGATTGGTCGCCCCAAAGGAAGTATAATTATCGTAGTATCGTTCAATGTCGCGATCCTAGATAGCATTCACTTTCGTTGGAAATGGGGTTATTGTACTCCCCGCGTGTTTCAACGAAAGCTTGTTGAGGGGGTGTAATTCCAGGAGAATTTTAGGGCGCATGCGTCTTGACCGTTGTCCACTTGGAAACGTTCGTTCCTCATTTTCTCCTCCTCTCTCTTTCTCCCTTTCTGTCTACCTGCGCTTTAACCTGCACTTTTCCACCTGTAAAACTCGAAACACATTGCGCGAGTCACGTCGAACTAGTTCGTTTGAACGTTTTCAAAGTATAAAATAGAAAAAGAAAAAGAGAAGCAACGAACTTGGATACGCGAAAAAAGAAGTAAGTGTACATGATTTTTTTTATTCGATACAAAAATGTACAAGAAGAAAAGTTCATTGTGGTATTAACACAGTAGTTACAAGATGTATCATTTGCTTTTCGAATGTCATTACTTTTGAAGAAAAAGAAGTTCATTTATTTCTTTACGCTCTATTTGAAACCTTTTTATTTCATAAATTCCGCTATCTTGGACGATATTTAATCATAAGTTAACTTACCCTAGACTTACTTACCCTTGCTAATCGTTAAACAAGAATCTTTTCCCACCGAATAAAAGTCCGATCTTATCGCCCAACTCGTTGGTAGAAAATTACAAATAAAACCAACAATAAGTCTCTAAAAGAGATTAATATGTAGAAACGATGAGAATATACGCATAAGAGAGAACAGCTGCGCGTAAACGATTAAAACCCTTTGAATTATTAATGCCACTTGCATGAACTTTCCATGTACACATACGCGAAACTTTTTTTCTTCGATTTTTCATTAAACTGCGAAACTATTTCAAGTACACCGAGATTATACTTGAATGAAAGACCCATTAATTAAAAATACAATCAACCTGTGCGGATCGATCTATTATAGCTTATATTATTCTTTTCTACGAACGTTTGACCCCGCGTTTTTGTCTTCTTGGTACCTCGAGTGTTTAAATCAAAAAGAGAAGATTTGTAAAAGAAACTTCAATATATTTTGTAGTCAAAGTAAAGGCAACTATTCTTGTTCGGTCACGCTACGACTACTTTTTATCGATTTTCTGTTCCGGAAGAGAGTGTAACACGCGCGTGACACTTAACATAAAAAATGTACACCATTGGTAAGAATCGTCGCATCAAGCTGGGACACATCAAATGCGTAAACTTTGTCGCTAACTTCTTCGGAGTAGAAACTTGGTCAAAACTTGCGGAGGAAGACATTTTTCGATCGAAGTATGACATATGTGCATAGATACATACATACGTAAAGTACGCGTATATTTTTAAATAAAAAAACAAATGTCTAAAAGAAAACCAAACATGTAGCACTTATAAACCACGGTCTTTATTTTCGCGAATCGATATCTTCTTGCGATTATGACGTTGAATTCAAGGTAGAACACACACACACACACACACACGCATATATAGTTTTATAAGTTAGTTTTTTGCATGCCACGCCAACGCTGCGATACATTTTTCTTTCCACTCAATCGTAATGCGGATTGCAAGCCGTTCGAGTCGTTAATTTGATTTTTTTAATAATCTTCTATGAGTAAATATAATTGTTAAAATAAAGAAATATATATATATATATATCTCTCTTTCTGTCTCTCTCTCTTCTTTTTTCTTTGGGGACTTTGCGGGATCATCGTGAAATCTCGCCATACGGTGTACTAACTCTGGATATAATATATTATTAAAAGAAAATGATCAATGTCGGGATTCTCCTTTGTCGCGTTTCTCCGTGGCTTTAGTATTCATTCGCGACATTGATGCAGTTCGTGCGGGTATTCGCGAAAAAGCTTTGATTCGTTTTTACCTGTGAAAGCAAAAAAAAAAAGATCTAACGTTTAAAGGATGTTGGCTAGATTGAAGAACGCCTGTCAGTGTCCAACACCGAACTGCAACTTTCATCTTCCAGGAATGGAGAAGCCGGAATCATCCGCCGACGGTGGCAGTGCTATGGATCTCGAAGACAGGGATCCGAACAATCTTAATCAACATCTTCAAGTAAATTTCCAATAGTTAAATAACTCTGACTCGATGGTTTCCGAATAAAAAAATTGAAATCCGACAACAGGTGATGTGGGACGACGTGATCGGCGAACCGGAAGGCATTCGAAGTCCCGAATGCGCTTGGCGCTTGAGTGGCCACTGTTTTCGCCTTTCCAGGGGTTGCTGTTACATATTTCTCTCGGTCTTGGTCGCACCCTTGCTCGCCCTTTGCCTTGGCTTTACATTCGCCTGCCTTGCGTTCGAGGTAAATTTTCACTCAATACGATCGATAATACGATTGAAAAGTGTCTATGCATATTTGTCTTCATATAGCACATATGGTGTGTGGCTCCATGTCTTCGAGTATGGAAAATAACTTGCGCAGCGACGAGAAACTTTTTCACAGCTTTCGTACAAGCTATCGTTCGTCCCGTTGCCGACGCCCTTGGATATCTTTTTAACAATATACGCGTTTTTAATCAAAAATTACCAGACGGTCCCGAAAGAAAAGACGACATTCTTATAGTATGAAATCAAATTTACAAATGTTTCTAGTTTTTTTTTTTTTTTTTTTTTCTATTAACACATTACGGACAGATACTTTTTCTCTCGTAGAGATAATTCATTTAGCAAACGAGTTAATCTAACAAGCACAAGAAATAGTCTGATCCGCAATGTGTCGGAAAACGATTCCGTCCTATTTTAGACTGCCCCCAAGTATAGCGAATCTCGCGTTGACAATGGAATACAATTTTCTCCAGCTATTAAACAACGAACAAACATAGTTTATAATGTATTTCAGTCATGTTGAAGCAATCAATATTTCACTCGATTTCAATTTCAATCAAAGAATGTTCTGACAATTATACCGCACTTAAAACGCGATCATTTTTCTATCATTTAAACATGTATGCAAGTTGTTGAAAGAATCTAGTCACTAATTATAATCAAATTTCAAATACTTGCGTCTCCTATCATTTGTAATATAAATCATAGCATAGTAGTAATGTTAAGAAAAATAATAAATGTATATAAGTTAAGCGAAAGAATTTCTTATATTAACAAATAAATCAATGATAGTGATCTGTTAAGTTTTGGGTAAGTTTGTTTTTTGTTATTCCCGTACACCATATTTTCATTTGTTGTACAAATTGATATTATACGAACATTTTCTAAATAGCATAAATAATGTGTTTGAATTGAATATCGTCATGCTCGCGATAGACTACAGTGAAGATTTAGCAAATAAATCGATCATATTCTATTGTATTCGTGCTTTTTTTAAATTTGCCTCGAATGATAACATGAAGTCGATCAAAAAAAATAAGGAGTAAAACAAAGACGTTCGACTATTTTGCTTGTTTTTTCATTTACATATAAGATAACTATATAAAACTGGAATTACGTAATGACATAAAAATTCACATATAATGTTTGGTATAACACATTTATTACCACAAGATATCGTATTTATCTCAGACACACAAAACAGAAAATAATGGTACTGATATTAGCAAGCCAGTACTCTATCAGACGCCAGACAAGATGGCAGCAGTGCGTGTACGAAGTAGATTCCTAAAGTTTTTAAGTTCATATCAAAGAAACTTAAACAGACGTATCCTTCTCAAAAAAGAATAGATTTATTTCGATTATTTATCGATTCCTGAAATATATTGTTAGTACATACATTTTTGCATGATCGTAAAAAAACAATACGCATATTTTCCTTAACGATCGAGTACGCGTAACCAGAAATCTCCGTTGCTTCAAGCCTGCAAAATAAAAGTAAGTTATATTTCTATAATTTTATATTAATTTCAGTATAGAATGGTGTTTTATATAACAGTGAAAGGAAAAAACCGTCAGTATAGTACTTAATAATATTGTTAAGTTGTTTTGCTATACTTGTTAGTTATTCATTGTTGGCATAGATAGCAGCAGTTGTCGGTAAATAGTTATCGGTTAGTCGGCAATATAATTATCTGTATTTTACATTTACATTTGGCGCATAAATATAAATATCTAATTGTTTTTAAATAAATATTAGATTAGCTTTTCGAAAAAATATTAGGTTTAAATACTTATCAACCGTTTGCACTCGAGGGCGAACCAAATTGTTTTTAACAATGTATATAACTTTATGAATTTTGTTAATTTTCGTTTTATAAAGATAATCATCGATTTGTATATAATGAGTAATTAATTTTATTATTACTTATCTTCAAATAAAAATGTTTTTCCCGAAGGTGCGTTCAAGTGGAATGATCCATTCGATCTCGAGTCCCAATTAACCGCAGATGAGATTATGATCAGAGATCAATTTCGTAACTATTGTCGTGAAAAATTAATGCCTCGAGTAATCGAGGCAAATCGGAATGAACATTTTCACAAGGAAATCATTAAGGAGATAGGTTCTCTTGGTGTTTTGGGCTGCACTTTGAAAGGCTATGGGGCTTCCAATGTTTCTTCCGTTGCTTATGGACTTCTTGCGAAAGAGATCGAGGCTATTGATAGCGGGTACAGATCAGCGATGTCTGTACAATCCTCCCTGGTTATTGGTTGTATACATCAATTCGGCGATGAGACGCAGAAGGAACGATTTCTTCCTAAACTTAGTAAGTATCAATCGGCGGTGTCTTTTCTTTCGGTCCTAATTTCATCTTCCGATCTTGCAGTTTCTGGGGATTTAATTGGTTGTTTCGGTTTAACCGAACCCGATCATGGCAGCGACGCAGGAGGCCTTGAAACTAAAGCTGTTTATGACAAGGATGAAAAAGTTTACAAATTAACTGGAAGCAAAATATGGTAAATTTATCATTATTTCTGCACATCAACCTAATACCATATCAAAACTTTCATCCGATCTATTTTCAAAATAGGATTTCAAACGCACCCATTGCTGATATACTAATCGTGTGGGCGAAGTGTGAGGATAAGAAAATTCGTGGATTTATAGTCGAAAGGGAAGGAAATCAGAATCGATTGGACACACCGAAAATCGAAGGAAAATTTTCATTGAGAGCTTCCATTACTGGAATGATACTCATGGACAACGTCGTAGTACCTGAAGAGAATTTATTAGCGAGTGTAGAGGGCTTGAAAGTTAGATCATTATTTATTTTTAATAATAACAATAAGAGAGACCCCGCCTAGTTATGTAAAAACCTTTGAACCTTCGACAACCCGAAATTGAGTGAATTTCATTAGATTTTAATTAGGATTGATAAATTTCTGAATAACTTGACCCAATTACATGATACAATAGAATAAATAATAAAAAAATGATGTGTACGCAGGGACCATTTAGTTGTTTAAACAACGCTCGTTACGGAATATCCTGGGGTGCTTTAGGTGCAGCCGAACATTGTTTCGAAGTAGCCAGAACGTATACTTTGACGAGATTACAATTTAAAAGACCATTGGCTGCTAATCAATTAATACAAGCGAAATTGACTAATATGATGTGCGATATAGCTTTTGGTCTTCAAGCTTGTTTACGCGTTGGAAGATTAATGGATGAACATAAGTACATTAAGAATCCTAATCTTAAATCACTGTTACAAGATATGATATGAAAGTATTCATTTATTTTCTTTCCTTTTGTTTTCTAATTGATTACGTCGTCTTTTTTCTCTTCAGATCAAATCCAGAGATGATTTCTATGCTGAAGCGAAATTCTGCTAGCAAAGCGTTAGAAATTGCTAGAACCGCGAGAGACATGTTAGGTGGTAATGGCATATCGGACGAGTATCACGTCATTAGGCACATGATGAATCTCGAATCCGTTAACACTTACGAAGGTATGAGGAGAACATTTTGACGTAAAATATAGTCGGTTTAAATCGATTATCGCGTTAAGATTAATGAAACGCTTAATATCGATGACTCCAGTGAAATTTTGTATTTTCACGATATTACTCGGAAATCTAAATACCTATATTAATGCTGTATACGAGCGATTATAACGTGATCGACGTACGTACGATGGCAACTCCATTATTATCCGTAATTTAATGATATGCTTTTTCTAATTCTTACGTATCGGTATTTCTGTGGGTACAATTTAATATCTTATTAAATCTTATTCAATCCTGGGGATAATAATGAACTTATCTTCGTCAGTATGTGCACAATTTGTGTTATTTTACAATAGGTTTTATTTTCTTTCATGTAGGTACTTACGACATACACTCTTTGATACTCGGAAGAGCGATCACCGGAATAGCTGCCTTCGGTGGATAACATATTTTCCTCCTTGATATTATTTCGGCCAGGTTTTCAGAAAGTAGTTCCACCTTTAAAACTACCGTAAACTTGTTAACACATTTAAATATATACATATAGATTTTGTATTCTTTTCATGGCAATACGTAACGTTGACGTTTCTAATTACCCTTTCTTTTCTTTTCTTTCTTAGGCACATAACTTGCTACGAATAATTTCTTCTTATCATAAGTATGTATTATATTTTCATGTATGCTTCCAAATATTGCAAGAGAGAAAATATCAAAGTTGATTTTTAAAAGATTATTACGATCCACGAATTAACCGACACCACAAACGTAATCAATAATTATTGCTCATTTATTCGACGTATTCTTCTTTTTCACAATTTATTTCTTCTTGTCAATGGCTTCTTTTACCGTTATATGTTTTATCTTCTCCTTCTTTTTTATTTTATTCGTTTTATTTATTACACGAAATCACAAAAATCGAAAGCGTAATATCTAGTATATAGAAACGAAGAAAAAAATAATGATTGGCAAGACACGAAGCAACGTTTTAACATAAAAGATTGTCACATCACTTTTCTTGTTGGAATTCTCTCTTATGGATATGATTTTCTTCTATCTTCCTATTTGTTTCGTTAGAAAATTAGATAAACGATATTTATATATATATGTATAATCAGCTTCGAAATTAAAATATGTTCGAATAATTAGAGAAGTATGGGATACAATAAATATTTCGAGAATACATCGTATTACACACTATGATTTACTGGTCGAAATGATACTCTAATTTAAACTATTATTTACAATCGATAAGTGTGATCTAGCTGTGCCTTCATTATTATTATTTTTTTGTTTAATGTTTTGTTTTTATAGCAATTGGTTCTAGCGACATATTATCACCTGATTATACGTTTTATATATATCTCTCTCTCTCTCTCTTTCTCTCTCTCTCACTCACACGCGCGCGCGCTCGTATGTGTGTATGTTCTTCGCTTTCTTCGTCGTCCATTATTAATTTATTCTTCCTCGAATTCCTCTTTTAAGTGTATGTATTTTTCATTATCTTCCTTTTCCTAATACAATTCCTATTTATTTCTTTTTTTTTTTCTTTTTTTAATTAAGTATTATTTTTCTTTAACTTTACAACGTCGAAAATGATTTCCATTCATACTCGATCTAGTAACTAGGTCTCCGTACAAATATAATATATATATAGTATATATATATACATATATGTTATATATATACACATATATATATACATATACATATATATTCAGTGCTTTTAGACTAATTTCATACTAAATGAAAATATAAAAATCTATATTGTTACTACAGTTATGTATAGGGGTTAGTCCGTCTCGCAATTTAAACGCGGTCAGAGATCATTTCATATACATATGCGAGTGAACTCAACACTGTATGTGTGTATGTGTGTACGTGCGTGTGTTGTTTGTCGCTTTTTGTTATTTTTGCTGAATTTGTTCTTACATTCATCGAGAAAACAACATTGATAAGTAGATCCCAAAATATGCTAAAACAACAAGTACGAATCCCTTTTTTTCCTTTGGAATTCCATGGTGCATTAAATAACAAGACGGTCTATCGCACCCTCGCATACGAGGGTCAACCATTTACTTTTTATCCATTTTTTGTGCTTTTCTTCCTTCCTTTTTCCTATTATTCTTTTTCCTCGATCTCTCTCTCCCTTTCGTTTTCGTCTCTCACGTTTCCTCCTGTGTTTCTTTTTAATTCTCCTTTTTTGTTTCTCTCCAAAAGCACTTAGAAATATTTGATAATCACTGACTTGGTTCCGATAGTAATTTTTCATTTATTTGACTAGATCTTTCGTGATTAAAACGAAGGCATCTATATATTTTGTTCATTTCTTTTTAATCATTCCCTTTTTCCTTTTTTAAATGCTACTATTTTCATATTTTTTCCAAGGATAAAGAAGATTTAAGATACAAATGTGATTAGTAAGTCTTCCTTTTTCCTTTTTTAATCTACTTGTAAGACTATTAGAACGGAGATTTTGTTTGACTAAAAAGTTTATGGAAGATAAAATTTGTCGTTCGTGTCAATTGAAAATTGTTCAAAAATACTTCAACATTTTGAATAATAGATGCCTTCTTTTTTGTTATAGTAATAGTAGTAGTAATAGTAGCAGTAGTAATAGTAATAGTAGTAGTAGTAGTAGTAATAGTAGCAGCATTAGTAGTAGTAGTAATAGTTTTTACTTCGACAAAGAAACATCGTCGATTGCACATCTTTCGCGTAATTGTGTAAAAGGATTGCGGTGCGCTTATCGATATTATTATTTTTCATACATGCATCTTTCTTTCTTTCTTTCTCTCTCTCTTTCTCTCTCTCTCTCTCTCTCTCTCTCTCTCTCTCTCTCTCTCTCTCACTCTCTCTATCTGTATTTTTGTTGGTTTTAATCGTTAGCAACAAGGGACCCGATCAACACAAGCGACTCGATTAATCATAAATAAATTAAGTTTAATTGCTAAGTAATAAAATGTTAATTACATATGTCAATAATAATTAATTCAAGTTACAACACACGTCTCGTGCAAAAGTGTAAAGAAGTTTTTTTTTCGTGCTACACTCAATACCTTGGTATTTTTTTTGTTTCGTTTTGTTTATTTGGTTGCTCGTATTTTACGATTTATAAATTGTTCTTTGCTCGCTCGTATGCGTGTATTTATCTGTGTCAATGTTTTCTTCGTGTTGTGTGTCTATGTAGGAATGTATATGTGTGTGTGTGTGTGTGTAATTTTATTAATTAATGGGTATTTTTTTTTCTTTTTGTTATTCTTTCCTCGACTACAATAAGCTCTTCGTAAAACGTAGTAACATTGGTAGTTTACAATAGTTTACAGTTTCCGCCTCATGGTTCTCGATGATCGGACGCTTCTATTTAATAGTTATGCGTCGCTTTTTTTTCCTTTTTTCATGCTGGAATCGAATTCTTGTTTTATTTAAAGTGCATTTTTAATAAATTACTTTCTCTTATCCACGAACTTTTGCAAAGAAAGGGGATCCTCGAAAGAACCCGAAGGAATAAAAACACGAGAGAATTTTAACAAATGAAATTTACAAGATAGAGGAAGCGTTCTTTTCTTTTCTCCAATTCGATCGAAAAAAGAACGCTAAGTAACTCGATTCGATTCCAACATTTATAGATATCGATCTCCCCTCCGCTTTTCTTTCTTTCTCACACACGGACGCAACACCCACACGCAGACATACTCTCTCTCTCTCTCTCTCAATTTCCAAAACGGATTCGCAAAATTCAATATCGTCATATATTCTTCCATTCTTTATCTGTCTTTTTTGAAATTCTTGCATACATTCGCGCGCTAACATAACTCTTTCGATAATACACGGTCATGTTCATAGCCACATTGTTCGCTAAACGCATACATAGGTGTAAACAATAAATAATGTTTTTTTTTCATTTGCCTTACTTATAATTATTATTAATATACGTCTTTTTTTCGTTAATATTTCTACGATCCTTTGGTATTTAACACACACCCTGAAGGGGACGAATCCCCAGAAGGGGACGAATCCCCAGAAGGGGACGAATCCCCTGATTCGCAATTACCCCAATACCCCGATCCCTCGGCAGCGACTCTCTCCCGTGATTTCTTTAGATTTTCTCTTTAACTAATTCTTAACTGAAACAAGAGAGCCCAATCTTTTATTTTCCTTTTCTTTTTTAACTAACAATTTCATCTCCAATATTCTCACGTTTCAGGACAATATACCTTTCGCTATTTATTCATTAAATTAATCTACGATCTCTTTCTCTATTCCTTCAAATTCCGTTATTGTTTCTTGTCTATTTGCTAAACATTCTTCTCCCTCGTCGACACACGAGAGAGATACGCGTCAATATAAGTACACCGCATTTTTTCTTTCTCTTCCTCTCTCTCTCTCTTTCTCTCTCACATACACTCTTACGCACAGTTATAATAAATATAATAATGTATACTGCTTCTTTTGCACTTGTATATTTTACATTATTTCATCTCTGATTAAACTAATCGATACCTTATTGTCGTACGAACTGTTTCTCACATTTTTTCCATTATTTTCCCTCTTTTATTTTCCCCATCATTTTTTATTTCTCTTTCTTTCTTTCTATTTTGTTAACATTTGCAGCCTCTATTTTTCTCGTTTTTGGTACCACACGCAACAACGATCGAATCGATAATAATCGGCTTCTCTCAGTGTATTATCTTTTGTTTATTATTTGTTTAATAATTCGTGGAAAATTATTCGTCGTCGTCTTCGCACGAAACTTTTTCTTATATTCTTCTTCCCCTCCTCTCTTTCCAGAAATTCAACGATATCCTCGGAGAGAAGGAAAACAAAATGTCCATTATCGTTATCACGAAAATCATTCGTGCTTCAAACTTCTTCCAAAATTATCGGCAATTCTACTATGCGTGTGTATGAATGTGTGCAATGTATTATTTTGTGTCCCATATGATCGCGCGGGTGTGTGTGTGTGTGTCACGTTGTGTAGCATGTTCAGTGATTCTAGATCGCCCACGTTTATTCATGTATTTTCTCATCCATTTGTAGATATGTTTAGAGTATCAATACAAGTTCCATCGTTATTCCATTACAATCCATCTCTCTCTCTCCCTCTCCTCTCTTTGCAAGATCTAGCCACGTCTATCTCGTATCCGCGATTAAAAAAAAAAAAAGAAAAAGAAAAAAAGGAAAATCCGCTACGAATATTTCTTTCAACTAAACCAAAATGAGAGAATTGTTTCTATTAATGAATATTTAATAATTTGTATTTCGCACGTATACGCATGGAAATATGTATAAATATATGTATAGACGTAAGGTTGCTATGGCACGATGAGAAGATTTTCATCGAGAAAGAGAAGCGTCATCGGATTGACTTTTTCTTCTTCTTCTTCTTCTTCTTCTTCTTCTTCTTCTTCTTCTTCTTCTTCTTCTTCTTCTTCTTCATCGTCGTCGTCGTAGTCGTCGTAGTCGTTGGCGCTTAATTTACGATCGAGTTAACTAATCACGTTGTCGCGATTATAAAAGAGCTTGTTCTCTATAGATGCACGGATCCGAAATAGACTGACCGTTCTTTCCAAGTTCCCCGATCCTCTCCCAGGAACTAGCAGGTTGCAGCGAACTACCACCACCAACGGCGTGTCCATCCAACCTAAGAAGCTTCCTTCTTTGCGTTTTTTTATATCGCTCGCTCGACCTCCTCCATTTTTTTTCTTCCTTCCCTTAGTCCTTCGATAGCCATTAAACTAACGAGAGATAAGTCCCGTACCTCATACTCTTTTTCTTCCTTTTTTACATACTCTTTTCCTCTCTGCGTGTTATATACATAAATAGAACATCTTATAACTTTCTCTTTCTAGTCCCCTGTTTTTCATCGGTGTGATAAACTGATCGATCGATCCGTCGATCGATCCTTCGATCTGATCGCTTCTTCTTTCCCCCCCTACCCCCCAATTACCGCTGAAAACCCTTTCACCTTTTTTTTTTCTCTAATCATCCCTGGCATTATATTCATATTTATATATATTTATTTTCATATATTTATATTTTATATTTTTATATTTATATTTATAT